CTTTGTAAAATCTGGGGTATTAAAAAAACTAAATTCCGAGTAGAATAAAGGAATCGAGAAAAAAGCAAGCAAGTGCAAAAGGTTAAATCTAAGACCTGAAACTATGAAACTACTAAAAGAAAACACTGCAGAAACACTTGAGGCACTGGTCTGGGCAAGGACTTTTTGAGTAATACCTCCGAAGCATAGGCAACCAAAGCAAAATTGGACAAATGGGACCATAAGTTAAAAAGTTTCTGCACAGCAAAGGAAGCAATCAACAAAGGAAAGAGACAAACACAAAATGGGAAAAAAATATTTGCGAAGTACCCATCTGACAAGGTATTAATAACTAGAATATATAAGGAGCTCCAACAATTCTATACAAAAAAAATCAAATCCGATTACAAAATGGGCATCTGACTAGACATTTCTCAAAAGAAGACATACAAATGGCCAACGGGTATATGAAAAAAAGCTCAACATCATTAGTCATCAGAGAAATGCAAATCAAAACTACAGTGAGATATCATCTCACCCCAGTTAAAATGGCTTTTATCAAAAAAACAGGCAGTAATAAATGGTGGAAAGGATGTGGAGAAAGTGGAACCCTTGTATACTGTTGGGAATGTAAACTAGTGCCTACAGAGAATAGTATGGAAGTTTCTCAAAAAATTAAAAATAGACCTACCATATGACCCAGCAATCCCACTGCTAGGTATATACCCAAAAGAAGAGAATTCAGTACATAGAAAAGATATCTATACTCTCATGTTTACTACAGCACTACTCACAAAAGTCAAGATTTAGAATCAACCTAAATGTCCATCAATAGATGAATGGATAAAAAAATTGTGGTACATATACACAATGAACTGTTATACAGACACACACAAAATATGAAATCCTGCCATTTGCAACAACATGGATGGAACTGGAGAACATTATGTTAAGTGAAATAAACCAAGCACAGAAATACAAATCTCAAATGTTCTCACTCATATATAGGAGCTAAACATTAAAAACAACTGATCTCATGAAGACAGAGTAGAATCATGGTTACCAGAGGCTGGGAAGGGTAGCAGGCAGAGGGAGATAAAGTGGAGATGATTAGCAAAAATACAGTTAGATAAAATGAACAATATCTGATAGCACAACAAAGTGGCTATAACCAACAAGTTAGGGGATACTTCAATATAACTAAAAGAGTAGAATTGGAATGTTCCTAACACAAAGAAATGATAAGTGCCTGTTGTGTATGCTACCTTAATTACCCTGATTTGATTAATTCACATTGTATGCCTGTTTCAAAACATCACATGTACCCTGTAAATATATACGACTATTACATATCCACAATAATTAGAAATTAAAAATTAAATAGGCCGGGCGTGGTGGCTCACACCTGTAATCCTAGTGCTCTGGGAGGCCAAGATGGGAGGATTGCTCAAGGTCAGGAGTTCGAAACCAGCCTGAGCAAGGGCAAGACCCTGTCTCTACTAAAAAAAATAGAAAGAAATTAATTGGCCAAATAATATATATAGAGAAAAAATTAGCCGGGCATGGTGGCACATGCCTGTAGTCCCAGCCACTCGGGAGGCTAAGGCAGCAGGACTGCTTGAGCCCAGGATTTCGAGGTTGCTGTGAGCTAGGCTGATGCCAAGGCACTCACTCTAGCCTGGGCAACAAAGCAGAAACTCTGTCGATAGATAGATAGATAGATGGATGGATGGATGGATGGATGGATGGATGGATGGATGGATGGATGGATGGATGGATGGATGGATGGATGGATAGATAGATAGATTAGATAGATAGATGATAGATAGATAGATAGATAGATAGATAGATAGATAGATAGATAGATAGATAGATAGATAGATAGATAGAGAAGGAAAGAATGCCAGCCCAAAGATATTTGCATCCTAATCCTTAGAACCTGTAACTCTTACATCACATGGCAAAGAGGAATTGAGGTTCACATGGAGTTATGGTTGTTAATCAGTAGGCAGTGAGATTATCCTGAATTATCTGAGTGATTACCAGTGTAATGACAAAGGCACTCAAAAGTGAAAGACAGAAGCAGAAGGACAGTCAGAGGGAGATGATTAGGAAAGGTCAGAGAGATACAACCTGGCTGGCTATTAAGATGGGGGAAGGCAGCTATGAGCGAAGGAATATGGGCAGCTTCTAAAAACTAGAAAAGGAAAGAAAACAGATCTCTCTTAAACACAGTCTTGCCACACCTTGATTTTAGTCCAGTGAGATCCTATGTCACATTTCCAAAACTGTATTATAAATTTTCGTAATTTATGCCACTAAGGTTATGCTAATTAAAGCAGTGACAGGAAATTAATGCACATGGTAATTCCTCTCATATAAGACCAAAAATAAGAATTATCTTTAAGACACAGTATTGCCTAAATCCTTTCAAATTTTGATAGTCATCCTTCCAAATCATGTGCCACTTATAGGTACAACCAAGACTTCTAATATACTTACAGATTTTTAGTAATACATTTTGTAACTTAAAAAAACCCACAAAATTGCCTGTTTATCAACATTTTTTCACATAATTGATCAAACTCTTTAAAATTTACTCTTCAGTAACAAAAATCTAACAGGATTACATTATGTTGATGTTAACTGTCCTAAATTTCATTTAAGAAATATAAATGTATGAAAGTTTGCAAACAAACCTAAAATTGTAGATTCTAGGTTTAAAAAAAACCTATAATTACACTCTAAGTAATAACATTCAGTTTTCAAATAAAGACTGTTAGATAAAGGAAAATGGCAAATGTTCACAATTTATGGTTCAACATGCATTTTTCTTTTTTTGGGGAAAATTTGGATAGTGAAATGCAGAGATATTAAGTGTACACTTCAATGAGGTTTTTTTGTTTGTTTGTTTGTTTGTTTTTGAGACAGAGTCTTGCTCTGTTGCCTGGGCTAGAGTGCCATGGCTGTCAGCCTAGCTCACAGCAACCTCAAATCCTAACCTTGAGTGATTCTTCAGCCTTGGCCTCCCACAGTGCTAGAATTACAGGTGTGAGCCACCACCCTGGTGGACTTCAATGAGTTTTGACAAATATATATCTACCTATGTAACCAAGAATCAGGATATAAAACATTTCCACCATCTAAAAAAACTCCCTTCTGTTCTTTCCAGTCAATCCCCACCATCCACGGATAAGTTACCTTTTTTATTTATTTTTAAATACCCAACTAATGCCTGGCCATTTACAAACATGACATGTTAACTCCCTCTTTATATCATCTAAATTCCCAACTAAGAAAGTAATTAAGTCTTTAATAGATTTCAGTTTCATAACTTGACTGTCACCAATGAAAGCCATAATTTAAAACTATATTTCCTAATCTTCATGTATCCACTAAAACAAAATACTGTGAAATACACAAAATATCACTCTGTGTTTGTTCTGAAATAGTATTAAAATGCTAAACCATAATCCAACTAGCTTCCACATAAAAGCCAAGGTAATTTCATATCAGAGTAAAAGGATGAGAAATAAATTTAGCAGTATCTTTTACACAAATAAAAGTAGTTACTGAACTGATCTGCCATGGTTTATAGAACCATTAAGATCAGCAATGTTTTCTAAGATTCTACTTTTTTTGAACCAGAATAACCAACCAAATCTTCAAGATTACCTCTATTTTACTCATTTCCTATTAAAAATACCTATTAGCAAAACAAACCTATTTTGCAACAAGTCAGCATTAATTACTCTGCATGAAACCGTATCATTGCCTATAGTGATACAAACACAAGGATAACAAAAAGACACTCGAAAACTATTAAGATGGACAGGTACAAAATATTAAAATAGGTATGTACATCTACAGATAATACAATGAATGTGGAATTGTAAGCTTGTATACAAAGGAAAAAAAATTCCCAAATATGAAATTTTGAGTGAAAAAGTAAACGCCAAAGGGCACTAGGAATACATTTCATGTATTATTGTTCATAAATCAACCTTGGGAAGCCTAGCCAGTGTCTTGTCTCTACTCTGCCCCTCACCTTCAACCTATCTCCCAGTAAGAATGTGCTTGGAACACAACGGGCATATCCTGTTTCAAAATCATACACATACCCACACTACTGAAAGAAAACCTTATGCAGTGTCACATGCAATGAAAACAAAGCAAAGAAAGAGACACTAAATTCTGCAGGGCATTTAACATTTTAATTTACGATATTATTTCTCATGTTATTTAAAATAGTACAAAACCCAGGAACACCTTGACTCTAAAGTACCATCTGTTTCTAACAAAAAGTACACTATGGGAAAGAAAGAGAGAAAAAGATTCATTTCTATTACCCTCCATATCAAAAATTTTCTTTTCCTACATTTCCGATTAGAAAGCCAAGCATCTACTAAGCAGAGGATGGATCAGGGCCCTGCCACCGCCATGGCCTCTAAAACACACATGAATCCCAGGACTGCCAGGAAAACCAGAATCTTGGCTCTTTCCTTTTCTCCCACCCCTTCGGCAACCTTATGGGATAAATTTTAAGTCTCAAGCCCCTGCACTCTTAAGACTTCTGCAAGGAGAGGAATGCCAGTGAAGCTGGCCACGTACCGCCACGAGTGGTCCGCCCCCTACCCCCACCTGCCCGCGCGGCGCCCGGCTTTCGGCGCCCAGCTTTCACCTCCGCCTTTCGGGGAGGTCTCCGCGGCCGTCCGGGCGCCACAGGAGGGAGCGGCGGTCGAACCCTCCCGGACAGGGGCCAGGGCCGGCCCCGCGGCCGCCTCGGGAACCCTGCTCCAACACCGCCGCCGCCGCCGCCGCCGCCGCCGGGGCAGCCCCTCGCAGGCAGGCAGGCAGCGACCCGGCGAGGGGTGTGGGCAGACCCGCCGCGGGCTCGGAAGAGGGGCGTGACCGCCAGTTGGCCGGGCTGCGCCAGGTGCCGGAGGAACGCTGGCGAGGTGCGGCTGCGGGACCTGGGTGCGGAGGCAGGCGAAGGGGACGGGGGGCGCTCGCTCTCTTACCGCCAGGTCCGGACTGCGGCTGTCCCTGTGTGACACGGCTCGGATGACCCCCGCTCGCCAGCTCCGCCAGCCGCGTCCGCTCTCCCCGCGCTCCGGACGCGCCTCGTCGCCGACCGCCACACACAGGAACCGTTTCCCCACCAGCTCCGGCCGCGTCTCCACCGCCATAGCCGTCGCTGCCACGGCGGCCGCTGCCTCCGCCACGGCGAGGGAACCCGCTCCTACCGGCCGCCCATCCTGAGGGGAGCGGACCGAGGGACGGCGGCGGCCCCACGAGCGAGCGCAGACCCGGGGGCGCACCGGCCGCTCTGCCCAGGAGGACACAGCGACCGCGTCCCTTGCTGTCTCAGACACTTTCCTTGACTCCCAGATTCGTAGCCTTGGACTACAGCTCCACAGAAAACCTGACAGAAAACCCTACAGCGCCGTCGGACGCCCCGAGGCAGCCCCGGCCGCCGCCGCCACCACAGCGCCGCGGCCAGTACTACTCCGCCTCCCCATCCACTGGCGAGCAGCGAGCGCGCCGCGCGTCTCCTTCCGCCGGCGCGGGTGGGGGGAGGGAGACGCCGGGAGGGTCGGCGGAACCACCGCAGACGGAAAGTAGTGCCCGGCGCGGCTGCGGCGGCTGCGGGACCAGCCAGGCTCCAGAGGCGGCGGCTGCTCCAAGACCAAAGGAAGATGGGCGCAGGGAAAGGGAATGCTCTCCTTCAGCAACACCTAGTAAAAGCGTTTGGGGTCCCGTTTCTACTCGTTGCTCCTCAGAGGTGGGCGTGAGGCGAAAGTGAAGCGCGCTGGTTCTACTCTGGATCACAAAATAAACTCCAGGTTAAACGCCTCATCTGCAGAGCGCTGTTTGTCAGAACACAGGGCACCGGCCGTCGGAGCTGGCCAGAATTAGCAGACCTGCAGTACCGGCAGCAAAGCAGAGCCGCACTCACTGAAAATTGAGCCCACGAAACTCAGTCACAGGAGAACAGTCCACGACTTTAAATGAAAATGAAGGAAATGCAGTCGTCCCTTCATCCTTCCCATTTGCGGCGCTACTAATTACACGTTTAACCTACACAGAGATTTACACCTAGCCACTGCTTTGTCGTAACAACGCCAAACGCTCCGTTGCAGGCTTTTGTCAACGTCCTTAAATTTCACAACCTGTCCCTGTGCCAATCTTAGTACTTTTAGTACTGGCACATAGCACAAACACGCTGTTCTGATAATAAAAACAGGGGAAGGCTCCAGATTCAGTTATTAGAAAATAACATGGAAAAGCAAAGGATTTTAGCCAATCACAGTTCAAGAAAATAAATTATGTTTACTTCCCATCCAATCACAATAGGACATCATAACTCAGGCACACAAAGATCTCCAACTTGGAACAATTACTCCTTCTCTGATCACACTCTTGAATTCTTCTAAAGCAAACTTCCCGACAGATGTCAGTGAGCAGTTCAATTTCAGGAAACTTTTTAGTGTTTTTCTAAGGTAGTTTTAAGAATCCCGTGTGGTTTTCAGTGGTGCTAGTGATTGTCATCAACTTCAAAAATTTAGTACAGTAAAAATGTCAGTTTCTTAAAGATTTTCCTAAACCTTTATTCCAAAAAAAAAGTTACCTTTTTAAAGGAGTTTACACTAGTAATCTGAATGTTTAAAATAAACATAATATGGCTTTTACCTGCTTTAGAACCCCCAACCTGGGCAGTCTGAAGTGGAAAAACATGGCTACTGCTAATAAATTAGAGAGCAAAATTATAAGGAAGATAGATTTTAATTATCATGGTCTAATTTTGCCAATGTAAAGACCAAAGACAGACCTATGATACATAAAAAAGAAAAAATGTATCCAAAAATTCATATTGGCAAGTTGAGAGAATAATTCTGCTTGGGAAAATTTTATTTCCAAATCCACTCTTTCAGTATACACTGTACTAAACAAAATATCTTGAGAATTACAGACTTAAGATTTCTAAAATGTCAGTTTATTTTATTTTATATTTTTGAGACAAAGTTTCACTTTGTTGCCCTGGCTAGAGTGCAATGGCGTCAGCCTAGTTCACAGCAACCTCAAACTCCTGGGCTCCAGCAATCCTCCTGCCTCAGCCTCCCAAGTAGCTGAGATTACAGGCATGAGCCACCATGCCCGGCTAATTTTTCTATATATTTTTAGTTGGCCAATTAATTTCTTTCTATTTATAGTAGAGACGAGGTCTCACTCTTGCTCAGGCTGGTTTCGAACTCCTGACCTTGAGTGATCCACCTGCCTCGGTCTCACAGAGAGTGCTAGAATTACAGAGGCATGAGCCACTGCACCCAGCTAAGATGTCAGTTTAGATTAAGGAGCCAGTAAAATAATCTGGTGAAAATAATATATGGAAAAATAAAAGAGCAAGGAGATCCACAATTCAGATATCAAATCATCAATGATTTGCTTTGTGACCATGGGCATGACACAACTGTTAAAATGGAAAATAACTGATTCCTAATTCTCAGTTATATCCTAGGAGCAAATGAAAAAATACACTCATTTGAGAAAAGATATGCAAATTCAACAGTTATTATATAAATCCCATTAGATAAATTATATTCTTAGAATATAGATTGTTGGGTTGGGTTGCCTTACATAAAACTGCCAGCTGTTTTCCATTTTGCAGGTAAACTGCTCTAAATGGTCCCCTAGGAACCCACTCTACATGTTGAATTCCACCCTTTTAAGTCCTCTTAAAAAGCATGTAAATCCAATAAATCAATCAAAATATTGCATGTGCACAAAGTTTTTCAGGAGGCCATATATCCCCATAATATTTTTAATCAAACATCTTATATTCTTAGACTATATTTCAAATTCTATTCTGTAAAGCCTTTGACTTCGCCAATGCCTAAAGTTTATACTAATTTGTAGATATTTTGCTTTTAGAGAAACTTGGAGTACATTTTCTAAAATGTAGAGTAAAAAGTCCTTAAAGGCCTTTTGTTTGTTCAGTGGAATATTTTTTTATTTGTTTTGTTTTGGAGGTATTTGTATTTTTATTTTTTTATTTTTTTTGAGACAGAATCTCGCTTGTTGCCCAGGCTAGAGTGAGTGCCGTGGCATCAGCCTAGCTCACAGCAACCTCGAACTCCTGGGCTCAAGCAATCCTGCCTCAGCCTCCCGAGTAGCTGGGACTACAGGCATGCACCACCATGCCCGGCTAATTTTTTTATATATATATGTATGTGTGTATATATATATATACATAATATATATATATTAGTATATATTATATATATTATATATTATATATATTATATACTAGTAGTAGTATTAGTTGGCATTAGTTTATTTTTATTTATCAGTAGAGAGCGGGTCTCTGCTCTTGCTCGGCGGTTTCGACACTCCTGACCTTGGAGCATGTCCGCCCCTCGGCCTCCAGAGTGCTAGGATTACAGGCTTGAGCCACCGCGCCCGGCCTGCATTTTTATTTTTTGACACAAATCATAATTTATAAATAACAAATTAAAAGAAATTTAAAGTCAGATTGAAACTTAGAATATGTTTCTTTATTCAATGAGTTTCCTTACATTCTTACTTCATAAAGATCCTCAGAAAATGCCAATATTAATGTGTAAAGAAAGAGAAAGAGAAGAATTATGGGATTTGTCACTCGTACTGACGAGGCAA